ACTGGAAGCCCAGCCCATGAAGGCATAGCTGTGTTTTCCGATTTGGCACCAGGTTCATGTTCTTCCCGAAAGCCACACAACACATGAAGATGGGCCAGAGTTTGAGTGCTCCAGCCCTTTCTGACCTGTCCCTCTGCCAGCAGTGTCAATGAGCTATGTAAATTTGTGAAAGCTATTTGGAGGGAAGCATTCACATCTGGGGAAAGACTGAATCCCAGTGGTGGAGTCCCAAGCCTCACTGGAGGTCAGACAGACAGGCAAATAAAAATAATGGAAACCAGATGACATGTTAAGGCAAGCTCTGTTTTTCAGTTATAATTCATTCCCTTTTTGAAACCTAAACATTTCTCATTACATTCTAAATTTTGAAAAGGCCAAGGTATTGAGTTATGATTAGAGTTAAGATTGGGTACTTGATTATGGATCTATTTCGTCTTGCGAGACAGGAAAAGCAGAATGCTGTGAGCTGCATTGAATTGGTTCCAACTCATGACGACCTTGGGTGGGGGCAGAACAGCCTGTCCTCCTTTCTTGGTGAGAGAACCTCGTAGTGCAACAGAAACAATGACGAGTGTCCCCAACCCCGACTCTAGAGTACGGTTTATTTCTTGAACCTCCGTTTAAAATATTCACTCATATAGCTGCTTGAGGATGGTGTTCCTATCCACCACTGCTCAGATTAATATACCTGAAGTGAGCCCGGACTAGCCTTTCTATGAATTATCATGAGCTCTCTCTCTTTTTAAAAAGTGGATTCTCCCAAGAAAGCAAAATCCCATTTCTATTTATTTGAAATATCAGAGTAAAACAACTCCCCACCCAATCAACCTTTTGTTGTTGTTGTTGTTGTTTAGTATAAATAGTAGCCAATATACTAGTTGTGGAAGGCTAGTTTACATTATTTTAAAACAGCTGATTAGTTCACATTGACAACTGCATCCTTCGGGGTTTTACAACATGGACCTCCTCCCAGCACCAACATTATACAGGTAGTTCCTGGGCTATGAATGTCTGACTTATATGCCACCGTAGTGTAGCAGCAATCCTGTAAAGCCAATCTGTTAAAATGTTCAGTTATCTACAATGGTTCATAATAAAAGAACACTGATTTGTAACACACATCAGAACATTATTATTATTATGTTATATGTGCTTTAGTGCATCTGGAAGTATTTCTTTCAAGTTTTTTTATATGTACACTTTGTGCGACACATTTGACTAACAGTTGTTAACTAGGCACTGTACCCAGCTATTTGGACTTCCATACACAGTCAACTTAAAAACGATGTGAGATGTAAGAATGAAGGTCTTCCTAATTTGGGGACTGCCCGTCTTACAGTTGGCTAGTCACAGGCCCTCCTGAACCTCTCGGAGACTATTAGACAAGACTTAGGAGAAAGTCACTAGATAGGTATATTCTGCTAACTCAGAGTGTAGCCTTCGCTCCGTGGAACCCTAACTACATACGCCAACTGCATCATTCGTGTGGCATTCAGATACCCAAGTAACCATGCGAGCTTTGATCTGATGTATGGATCGTTTTTTAAGAAACAAGACTATGCTGTGTTCGCACATGGGCTGTTTAGTTTATCGCCATTTCCAGTGATCCGCAGCTGTCTTTTGGAGAGAGGAGGAAATTGCTAAGGGGTTGCCTTTTCTCTGTGCGCTTTGGGTCGGATGTATAAATTAGCTCAAAGTGACACAACTCATATGGTTTCCCATTTGTGTGTGTGTGTGTGTGTGTGTGTGTGTGTGTGTGTGTGTGTGTGTGTGTGTGTGTTTTCAAGGCATTGTTCCTTGGTGATGCCTTGGCTCCATCTAGTGTCCGTTTAAAAGAGCAGCAGTCATAACAACTCAGTATTTTAAATCCGGTCAGGCCTGAGTATTCTGTCTGATCAATGATTAAGAGGGTTTCTTTTTCATTCGCTGTATCATGTCTTCCCCCCTGAAATGCCATGCATGTTCTTGAAGTCAGCAGAATCAGTGGTTACTAAGCTGTTGATAAGAATAGATGTGGGTACAGAGGGTGTTTCTGTCCTCCTCAGATAACTATTTTTACGTTATTCACATCTGTTGTGCTTGGGTTCTGTTGAGTTGATTTCAGCTCATCGTGAGCCCGTGTCACACAGTAAAACTGATCTCTGAGGTTTTCTAAGCTGTAGCCTTCAAGGAAGCAGGTCACCAGGCCTTTCTTCTGCAGTGCTACTAGGTGGGTTTGAACCAGCGACCATTTGGTTAGTAGCCAAGTTCTTAACTATTGTGTCACAGGGCTCCTTATAGCCAGGTCTTTAAAGAAGAAATGTTATGATAATGAAGATGCGGTATTTATCATTTATCAACAAGGGAAAAAAACGAGTATTGAATGTGTACAGGCCATACGTTTTAAACAATGTGTAGGCGACTGCAGGCACATGAAGACGGTTGACATCACTTTATCTTTAGTCTGTACAATCATTTTGAAGACTTTGAACTGGCTCAAGAAGTTTAGGGAGGAAAGGGTGTGTGTGTGTGTGAATTCTTCCAAGATTTAAAAAAAAAACACCCAAAACCGTTTCCCAGCAAGCTAAGCAACCGGAGAATGCGCTTCTAGCTGATTCTCCTCTGTTGCTTGGGTTACTAGGAGTGGGAATCGCTCTCAGGTGTTGACCCTGATTCTCGTTGAGCTCCAAGGTGAGTGTCCGCCACATAGAACAAGCCTAGTCTTGGCCTAGGAACCCGGGTGGCATCGAGGCTACGTCTTCCACTGCTGACCAGCAGTTCGAAACCACCAGCTTCTCTGGGGGAGAAAGAGGGAACTTTCTACTACCATGAAGAGCTGCAGTCTCAGAAACCCACGGGAGTCGCTCTACCCTGCCCTGTCGGGGCACCATGAGTCAGAACCGACCCGATGGCAGTACATTTGGTGGTGGTTAGTCCTGGCCTGGGAATTCACTGCCAAACCAAAGGTTAGTGGTGCGAGCCCCCCAGCAGCTTCACCGAGGAAGGCTTCTCAGACGATTACAGCCCAGAAAACATCTCTGCTCTGTCACAGGTCACTTGAAGCTACAGATCAGTTTGCGGGTGCTCAACCACAGTCCTGGCCCTCTGTCAGTGTTTTTTGCCATGCCTTTGTCTGGCCACAGAACATATATTGCTCTTTCTCTGAGCAACCAAACTCACTGCCCGACAGGCTAGAGTAGAACTGTCTCTGTGGGTTTCTGAGACGAAATCGTTCTCTCCCCTTCCTTCTAATAGAGTATAAAAGTCAGGACCTAGTGCCCTGGACTTGAAGTCTGGCCAGGCCCAGCCTCTAGACAGCGTCAACTCAAATGCTAAAACATCCTCTGCTGGTCCTGGCGGGAACTTGGTGGCAAGCACATGCCAGGTACAGAGGACTCTGTGAGAAACCATTAGCATGGACTTCCTTTCCTCAAGCTAACTCTTCCTGTAATGCTGTCCAGAATACCTATTCCTCACTGAAGGTATGAACTGTAAAGCCCCAGGGATGCTTCAGACTGACCAGTCCTACTGACAAAGATGCTGCCCACATCCTCCTGTCGAACTAATAACAGTGAGGTGGGCGGGAGACTGGGAGGAGCGATGAGGCTTCCAAGGTGTCGGGTCTAGTCATTTCTGCTCATCTCCTGTTGCTGAGAAACCTACATCTGCTGCTAAAGACTTCTCATTTGAAATGATTTTGAGGCTGCTGTTGGGTCCCCTCAAGTCCATTCTGACTTCCAGCGAGCCTGTGTGATGGAGCGGAATTGCCCCACAGGGCTACGCAGGCAGCCAGCCATCTCGACAGAACCGTGCCTCCAGGTCTGTCTCCCACAGAGCCACTAGGGGTATGGCTGAGAATAACTCAGCGAGGCCAAGGGTCTTCCACACACATCAGGGGAGAGTGAGCAGGCCTTCCAGAGGAAATGTGCCATTGCGACTAGAATGGGCGTGCTACAACTCCTCCTTGCTATCTGACATGCCATATTTCCAACAACAGTCACAAGATCTTCTAGCTGATTATTTGTGTGTGTGACTGGCAGATGTCAGGCAAGCACAAGGGTGCAAGGCTGGCTAGATTGCTGAGGTGAGGTGTCAGCTTGGCTCATCATGGCTCCTCGTGGTTCAGCAGTTATGCAATGATGTGATTTGGCCGTTAGGTGATGATGTCATTTGGTAGCTACATAACTGCTGTCCAACTGCTTCAGCCTCATTGTGGCCTCTGTGTTCAGTGTTTCCTGGTTGTCATCTTTCCAGAAGCAGCTGCCCACGCCTGTCTTCCCCACGGCTGCTGTGTTCAGTAGACCCACCTTTAGGTTAATTGTCAAGTGCAGACTGTTCAAAAGTCCAGGATTGAGTGTGCAACTACTCACCAACATGTGGATGGCTCCAACTCTCCCAGGGGCGCCTTGGAATAAAGCCGTGCAATCTGCTCCCCAACAGGTCACAGCCTTGAAAACCCTGTGGGGCGGTTTGAGACCCCCAGCCACTCCTCAGGAGAAAGACGTCTACCCTGTAAACACTTACAGTTTTAGAAGCTCACAGGGCAGCTCTACCCTACCCTAAAAGGTCACTTTGAGGTAGCATCAACCTGATGGCAGTGGGTTTGGGGTGTTGTTGTTACGGGGGTGCCTGGAGATGAACAGAACTATCGGGGCTGCAGAACCCGCCTAGGTGTCTGCAGGAGAACAAGGAAGCCCGTGGCTGTGAACCTGACTGTGCACACAGCCTTGTCCCAGCAGGAGAGCCGCAGAAGTGCTGGCTGTTCAAACATACTCTGTGTAACAGCAGTGGAGATAAAGGAGCCATTGTTTACTGTCATTTATTTTCTGTTGGTTTTTTTTTTTCTCTTTCCACATTAAATAAATGTGCTTCTTCTCTACCTCCTCTCTCTCCCGCTCTCCCCCCGGGGTGGTACTTGAATTGTTCAGAAGCTTGGGAATGACGCCACCTCCCAGGATTCGTCCGGCCTGCACGTGAGCAGCATAGATCCCCTGGATGGAAGTGGGACAGGTAAGCCAGCCCAGCGCCTACTACACCTTAGGAAAAAACGCATACTTTCTGGTTCAAAGAGCCCTGGTGGCGTAGTGGTGGCGTGCTGGCCTGTGATCCTCAAGGTTGGCGGTTTGAAACAGAAACCACCAGCCGCTCCTCAGGGAGAAAGACGGGGCTCTACTCCCGTACAGCGTCCCCAGTGGCAGTTCTACCCTGTCCCGTGGGAATGCTCGCTATGGGCAGTGAGTTTGGAGTTTTGTCTGGGTCTTGGAACCACATGTGACGTCAAGAAGGAAATTAAAGATGGAGAGGCCAGAATAGGCCTGTGTGTCATGTATTGCAATCTCACCTAAAAGACCACGTCCCTGCCCCAGGCCCAGCTCCACTGCAGCAGCCTGTCTCCTGCTGCTGTTACCCTGCCTGGACGGGCCACCCGCACCGTATCCCCAGTGGAGGAAATGCTGACTGCTTATTTCCATGCAGCGGGAGAGCTCCCACATTTTCAGAGTTCGAAGCTGGCCGTCCACATAGATCTCCACACACACGTGGAGTCCGCAGCTGGAGCGCTAGCAGTTTATTGCTCAGACCCGAGGCAGGGGCCAGACCCCCAGTCCAGAACCAAGAAAGATCCGTAGGCTTCAAATGCATTGAGAACCACTGTGTCTTCTGTGTGTTACTTTTGCCGCACAATGTTTGAGGCGCTGGCCCGTGTCATGCGAATCTTACCTTTGTGCAGCAGGCCATTGTGATCAGAATAGAGCCATCCGTCCACTGCTTTCCTACAAGTGCGAGGGTAGACCCCCAAGTATTGCTGCTGGGGATCCCGTTTACACATGCACGTGTTTCTTCCAAGCGAAGCGCGTTGGAACGCCTCTCTGCCATCCGCGGATGGCTGCAGACAGGTCGCCAGTCTCCTCATCTCTGACGTCTTCCACTAGCGAGTGTTCATTCCGTTCCAAAGTATCTGTGATGAGAGCCGAGAGTGGGCGGCCATATCCGCTGGTACCTGTGCTTCCCTAGCTTCCAGGCCTCACTTTCTGGGGATTGTGATTTTTTTTTTTTTTTAAAGTAAAGGATGCTTTTTGTACCCATTTTCATTCTAGGGCCAAAACTGCACCCAGGCCTCCCAGAGAGCCGCTTCGGGTTGGCGACACCAGAAAAGAATGCCAAAGCAGAACCCAAAGTGGACGTGGCCTCCAGGTCCCGGAGCTCGTCCAACACCCCCACCAGCCCCAAACCTCTCCTTCAGTCCCCCAAGCCCAGCTTGGCAGCCCGGCCCACCATCCCCCAAAAACCAAGGACTGCCTCCCGGCCAGGTAAGCAGCACTGTGACCAAGCCCCTTCCCAGAACCACTGGCTCAGGGCTCCGCAGATGATGGAGGGGCTGCAGCGGACATGCAGGAGCCCTGGTGGTGCAGGAGTTAAGCATGATGAACCACAGGGTCAGCAGTTTGAGCCCACACCTGCTCCATGGGGAAAGATGTGGCTTCCAGAAAGACTGACAGCCTGGAAAGCCTAAGGGGCAATTCTGCTCTGTCCACGAGAGTCAGTCACCATCAGTTGGAACCCCCTCAAGGGCAGTGGGTTTGTTTTTTAATGAGTGAGCATGTTGGAGGCAGCGGGGCGTAATTTTGCCAAAGGAGGTCATGGGGAGCTCGCCAGGGCCTGTGAAAGACAGGGACTGAAAAACAACACAAAATGAGTTGTCGTGGCGTCCGGCCCAACTCACGGCACCCCTGTGTGTGCATCGGGGGGCGCCACAGGACTCTCGGGGCTGTGACCTTTGGGGGGCACACCTTTTGGAGTTTTTTAATATTTTCATTTACTAAAAATATTTTTCTAATGATAATGACTTAAAAGTAGGCTCGCTGCTAGCATAGTCAGCTAGTTGTATCTCAAATCCAAAGTAAGGTGATAACTCTTATTCAGTGGGCCTGATGATTTAGTTGGCAGAGTATGTCCACGCCCTGGTTGCTAACAAAGGCGTGCCAGTGGTGCCGTGGGTTGGACATGCCAACTGCCCAACCAGGGATTCCAACCCATGAGCTGCCCACAGGAGAAGGATGGGGCGCTCTGCTCCCATGAAGATTTCCAGTCTCGGGAACCCTGTGTACGCCTCATAGGATTTCTAGTCTCAGGAATCATGTATAGGGTCAATATGACGTATAGTCTCAGAAACCCTGAATAAGGTCAGTATGACTTGGAATCAACTCAGTAGATGCAACACATGGCTGTGGATTATTCTGGTTAATTGTAATGATAAATTTTATACTCATCATTACAACTCACTGGAAATCCACTATTTCATTGGGAGGTGTTTTTATTTTCACTTGTTTATTACATGTATTCCTTAGACAATTTATTGAATGTTTCAGTAGACTGGAGAGTTCAGCAGGCATTTTCAAATACATTCTCCCGCCACAATTCTGCACATCGTAGTCAATGGGGGGGGTGGTATTATCTTCACAATTGTCTTGTCACATCTTGCTTAGATGATGAAGCAAAGAGGAAATTTGAATGGGATGTAGGCCTTCTACGCACACACACACAATATTGAGAAATGCTTTTTTGGTAAGAGATAATTTTTGTTTTAAAGGCGCACATTTTATTTCTCTTTTAAACTTCCTTTTTTTGGAAATTGGGTGAAGGTTCCCAGAGCATATCAGTTTTCCATTCCATAATTCGTACACGGTTTGTTTCATCTCATTCATTGAAATCCCCTCAAGATACCATCATCTATCCCACTTCTTCTCTGCGTTTCCCATTTCCATTTCTCTTTAAGAGCTCTGCCCTGGGGTACATGCGGCTCTTGCGGTCTCAGGTCGTTGTTGTTCTCCTTAGTATTCTTGTTCCCCATAAAGGTGTGTCTGTTATTTGGCTGAAAACTGAGCCACCTAAGTGAGTCCAGTTTCAAAGCTGAAGGGTCATAGTCTCTACTTTCCACCAGTTTCCACCCAACTTGTAAGACTGGTTTTTTATTTTTGGGTTTTTTTGTTTGCTTGTTTTTCATGATTTTGAGCTTTGGTCTACGTCTTTTTCTCCCACCTGTCCAGGACCTTTTAATAATGACTCTTTTCAATTAGACTGAAGCAGCACTGGTTTTAGAATGAAGATACTAACCCCCAACTGTTTTTACATCTCCTCGTAGCAGGTCATTTAATCTCTTCATTTGTCTAGTGATCACCAAGTCCTTTCAGATTCCAACTTATTAATAATCTCAGTATATGGATGTTTATGTGCACATGGAAACACATACACACACAAACATGAATTTCTATTTTGATGACATCACTGGGCTTGACAATAAGCAAATAAATCTGCATATTTACAGAAAACCACACAGCCTATTGTGTTCGAGGCAGAAGGAACATTTGGTTCCATTACAAATATAATTTTCAAATATCAGTTCATTGAAATGCTGTATTTTCAGGATAGAATCACATCTGTGCCGTTGTTGACCTTTTATAAGCATGAATTATTTTTCTCTTCCTTGTTTGTGGATGTTATTTTACTTAACAACAGGGATCTAAAACCGATTTGGGGCCAGAAACATTCTTTGATACGTGGGAGGTTTTTGTTTATTTGTCCGGTTGTTAAATGTTCTTGGAGTCCAGTTGGTAAACAGTGTGATGTGTATATTGTGTCTCTGCAGAGGACATACCAGACTCTCCATCTGGCCCTAGTTCCAGTAAAGTTGCTCTCCTTCCACCCAGCCTGAAAAAGGCCCCTTCAGACAAGGAGCGAGATGGCCAGAGCAGCCCTCAGCCCAGTCCAAGGACGTTTCCCCAGGAAGGTAAGACATTTCTTCTGGAAGCTGTGGGCTTCCCTTCCCTCACAAGGAGAGTCATTTCAGGAGAAAGGAATTCATTCTGGACCTCATTGGATACCTCAGAGTTTGGTTAAGTCAGCATCGCCAGATTAATTTTGGAGAATCGGAATAGATTCTCAGTTAAGAACCTGGTTTAACATTGCCGATGACTGTGGTAGGCTGGGTTGACCAGAGAAACAAGTCCAGTGACACTCGTATATGTGTAGTAAAGCTTTATGTCAGGAAGTAATCATATATCAGGAAAACATCCCAGCCCAGGCCAACGCAAGTCCCTAAGTCCAATACTAGTCCATCGTCCCTCTTCAGACTCACAAGGCCACTTGCACTGACGCAGAGTGTAGTAAGATCCCAGACCCGTGGGTGCAAAGTCCCATGGATCTGATGGTGGTGAACGAATCTCCAGGGCTCTGGCAGGTCTCAGAGGGTCTTAGAGGCAGCATTTACCTGACACTTCCAGAGAAGAGAACCCAAAAGTCAGGTGTCTTACCAGCAGGAAAGTGAAGCCAGAGAGATGGGGGTGAGGGAGAGCTTGGGGAGGTTCCCAGGACCCTCCTTATGAGAATACCACACCCACAAGGAGCCACCATCAGGATGTGACCTGATTTACAGGCTAAACTCCACCCCTACACTTTTATGTATCATCAAGTTGACATCAATTATGTAACTACCGTAATGACATTGGCTCTTAGTGAAGTGGCCCCAAAGCATAACTGATCCAGACATCCAGCCCAAACGTCTAACGGTTTTTATAAGAGTAATTACTAGATAATCTTGAGATAGCTCCCAACACGTCAGGAAAATTTTGTTGGTGTGACTCATGTACTGAGTGTGTGACTCATTTCCAGGTTCCAGTATTTCCCAGAAAACCTCCCTTGGTATGGTGAGAAGACACCCTTACTGTCGTTCAGGAGCAGGCCCTGCAGGCTGAGAGAACCTGTATTTCACTGTGCTCTCTCAGTCTGGAGATCACACGGTCCTCATTCTCCAAGGTGCCTCATCCGTTGGTTGGATGAGGAGCGGAGCAAGCATGTCGCTTGCCTTGAAGGCTTTCTCCTGGAATCCGTCACGGTGGAGCATCAGGGAGCTGAGGGCGGTTGCAGTGGCTTCCCCCACCTTTTCAGTTCACACCTGACTTTCGGTTCTCTTCTCTGGAAGTGTCAGGTAAATGCTGCCTCGAAGTTCTTTCCTGTAAGGAAATTCTAGAGTCTTATTAGACATCCCCATTCCCAGATGCTGCTCCGTGTGGTTGGCAGCTGTTTGGCTTTATTTGCAATCTATCTGACACTTTAGAGTCCTTTGGTCTTGCTGTCTCCTGGCAGCTTCTTACGTTGCCCACCCCCTCCTTTAAAAAAGAAAAAAAAACGAATAGTACCTGAAGGTGAATATGAGGGGGGTTCGAAAAAGTTAATGGAAAAAGTTCATTATCATTTAATTCCATCTTTCCACAAACTTGTTGAACCACCCTCTCCCCCACCTCCCAGAAAGTATCTGAGCACTGTCTCTATATCTTGGGAGTCTGGTTAAAATAATATTGATAATAACAACACGGCCTGCTTTCTCTTTTCCATTCTGTTCTTTTTTTGGATGGGTACATTGTTCCCTATCCATAGCCGTCTATTGGTGGCTCTACATATAGATATATTACATGCTTTGAAATTAGGAAGCCACTTCTGTGAGGCAGAGGAAGTCAAGTCATCCATGGCGGCTGGCCTCTGTGGTCATCTTACACAGAGTCAGTAAATACAGGATTGTATGAACAGCGTTTCAGCGGTGTAGTCACAGCCTCTGGAAGCGGTGATGGAGCAAGAGCCTGTTGTTCTTCCTGACCCGACCCAGGAGGTGCTACCTTGGCACAAAGCCCCTCTCCCGCTCTGTCCTCCTTGTCCCTCCTTTCCAAGAGACTTACTTTACATCTGTCCTGAACGGGAGCTTTGGAAATGCCTGAAAGAATCCAATAGAGAGACACGGAGTTGAGAAGGGGGTAATAGCAGTAAGTAGGAACTTCCCTTTTGTCTCAAGCAATTAAAATATTGAAGGATTCCTGTCTAAGTCAGGAGGTGGTTACAAAAAAATAGTCATTAGCATTTGTGGGGAGCAGTGTTTTCTAGGTGTCCATAGACGATCAAAACATCAGTGTAGTCACCAGCTTAGCGTAACGCACATCCTGACGTGGACGAATGTGTCATGGACCTTCTGAGGATGACCAAAACGGGTAAAATACAGCATGTTACCAGTTTGCCTGCAACTGCTGTGGAAAGAATTGTGTTTTCTTTCCTTGCAAATACTAGAATAGAATGAGTGGCTTCCACGACAGACATTCAATTGCCTCCCTGCCTCCCTCCCTACTCACAGTAGCACATATTAAGTACAGTCAGAGAGCATTCGGAGAGTGTCCCTTGGCGCTGAAGCTCAAGTGAAAATATATGTGAGTTGTAAATGCCCCAGGTGGTAAGGTTTTGACTTTAACTTATTTCTCAGCGAGTCCACTCAGGCGGCCCAGGCACGGCAGCCACCGGTGAGCCCTGTCTTTCGCTCTATGAGGTGTTCCTCGTGTGTTTATCTGTTTTCTTCTACATTATTCATGCTGCTTACTCCACTGCCTTGTCCCGTGCCTCCCTTTGGACTAGCGTGCCCAGCTAATTTCTGAAAACAGGTAAATAGCTGTGATTCTTCTGGTTTGTTCCATCGTGAATGTGATTTCCATCAACCCATTGTGGAATCAGGACGATAACATGGGGCCCTTTTTGGTTAGAACCTTTTGGGGGCAGACTCTCAGCACTCACCTCATTTTACACGAGATTTCCATAATGTTGGCTGTTGAACTCTATATGGAATGGCGGGTCTGCCCAGGACCAACACTGTTGGTCCCTGGACTCCTTAGTGGGGTGGGTAAGAGGACATGTAACTGTTAACATTCTCTCTTTTTTTTATATTAACGTCGACACCTTTCTGTCTTTGCGAATAAAAGGGTAAATTGAATCCCTTTTCCTCAGTAGTGCAAAGAGGAGATTATTACAAAAGAGGCTCAGATCATGACAATGACAAGCCTTCCGGTAGAGGGAAAAGATCTTCAAAACTGTACTCCACCATTGCGGAAGAGGAAGTGAATGCGATTGGGCACAGGAAGTCACAGCCAACAAATGGTTAGAGCCTTCGATTGTCATCCTCCACTGGTCCAAAGCTTATGAACTGGCACTAACAAAATTGAACCGGAATTGAGTAACTTCCAACTGGCACTGGGCTCAGGATTATTCAAAGAACAATTTTTTTTCCCTAATCTGTATGGCAACAGGATGGTCCTTTGATTTGGGGGGCAAAAAAAAAAACAAAAAACATAAAAACCTAAAATGCTACAATTAGGAATGATTTTGAGGAGGACCAAGTTACTCTGCAGTAGAGTGACTTGTCCTTTCAAATTTGTGTGAGGGTGCAGGGTCTCATTTATTACTGTTGTTTGATGTCGTAGTCTCTTCCTTTCTATCTAATTTCGACTTTGATGAAATCAAAATCCTTAGACTGGTGCAGATAATCCCTGTCGTGAATATTGGCCCAATATCTTAGACCGTTTCAGAAACCAGTAACGAGGTGTGGCAGAAGACAGGCTTGGTGCTGCGCTTCTAAAAGCTCACAGCATTGGAAACTCAGTGGCGCACGAGTCTATTGTTGTGTATGGTTGCCATGATACTGAAGGGGTTTAGTCAGCATCCTTGCACAAAGCCTCTAGACAAAAGTATTACCAACCCCTCTTCAAACTTCCTCACTTTGTTATTGGTAAGAAAGTTCTGATGACCCACTTTAAACTAGTGAGTTGTGCCATTTCAAGTGGGCACTACTGAATTTAAGGACTTTCCTTGGCACAAATTTAAAAGCAAAATCATCAACAACTGAATCACATCCCTACTAGAATCACCATCTTCCTACTAGAAATAACAGGAGCCGGCCCATTAAGCAAATCTCTGTGGCTGAGCCGTGCGCTCCAACTTGGCAGATATGCTAATACATACTAGCCAGATGTCAGGCTAGAGTTAAGGACATGACCCCAGCATAAAGCAAATTCTGGTAGTGACGTAGGACTAGAACATTGTTTGGACCAGGTACTGGTTTGGCCCTTCATTTGTAAAGGACTTCCTGTGTGATAGACTTGTTTATATACCACGTGTTAGAACAACCCCCTCTCTCAGAGGTATTGTCTGGTATTGCTTCCAAAAGTCTCTTACCTTCAAACCACAGAAAAGTCACATAAATGAGATCTGAAGATGTCTTTTCTGAGGAGGTAGAGTTATTTTTTGAGAATATATTCAATTAGAAACTTAATAGGGATTGCCTAGCTGTAGATGTTAAGAGTCTGGAAGTTTACATTTGAACTATTGTGTCAGTTGGCTCATATTGTTTGTTAGCCAAAGTGCCCTTGATAAAATGCATCTTCTCAAAGAGACTATTGAAATCACTTGTAATACCCCCTCAGTACCACAGCGGTCATCCAGTAAGATACTGAGTTAGAATAGAAAGAGGATAAACAAACCCAGAGGTGAGCCAAGATGAGTCTTAGAATGGCCAAGAGAAATCAGCATCTCTCGTTTTTCCATGACTCCACGACCTCTTTGGCTTGAAATTCTCATGGTGCTAAACTGTGTCGCGTTTTGATGGAATTGAATAGGACCATCTTGTGTTTGCTGTGCCACCTTGATCTCTGGAAATCCCACCAGGCCCCAAAACGAATCTTTGCAGGAACGTCAGTTAAATTATTTTTATTTTTATTTCATCTCTTTTGTTAGTGCCGATTCCTACCACTGAACTGGCTTCACCTTTGAGGACTGCCCAGTGGTCTGCTTTCTGAGCAGTTCAGTTCAGCCATGTGTGTACGTCCCTTTGAGTCTCCTAAGAGCAGCTCTGTTTACCCAAATACAACTCTCTCGTCTTCCTGAACCATGTGTTCCTGGAACAGAGAGGCTATTGTTCTCAAAGCGTGCTGCATGTGTTTACCATGATTGTTCTGTTTCTACTGTGTGGTTATTATATTATTGTTTTGACAGGTAAAATGCTTACCAGCTCCCTTCACTAGAGATATCTGTAACTGTATCTTTTGAATCCCATATCATTTCACCTCTTGATTGTAAGCTGTGATGTTCTTCAGTAACGTAGAGCAACCACTTTTCTTAAAAAGACTGTGTATGCATTTGACTTTGCATGCATTGCAATGGCTCTTACTTGTACAGACCATCAGATTCTGAGATTCCCTGTGGACGCCATTTGCCTCTTCCGTAGTCTAACCCGTAGCCAACAAATACTTGGCCGTGGTTTATAGTCTGCAAACCAGTGCGTGTTCTTTTTCCACCACATCATGGCTCCATGTGAGTTCTTCAAGAGAAATTTAACAATTAGTTGGCATATTTTGGGCTCCTGCCCAAAAAAGGATTAAAAACCAGGGCCCGCAACTGAATCTTTTTTAAGGTCAGCATAGTGTTCTTCCTCGGAAAGGTGGATGTCTGTGAAACTTAAAATGGAGAAGAACTCAAATTTCCACTTGAATCTCTAAATCTGAATGTATTTGCCCTGTTCAGATGCATTCACATTAGCATGCATCTGCATGTATGCAAGTCATCTGTCAAGTCACCTTTAAGAATGACAGCTTTCATGTTTGAGCCTCTGCACCAATTACTGCCTTTGTAGAGGGGACAGGAGACTGTTCATATTGTACGAGTGTTGAGTAAAGGACTTACTCACATATCAGAGTATCTTATATACATGCAATGATACCTGGAGGAGTAATAAATACATGCAGAGAGATGTATATAGATACTCTAGCACTGGAACTACATACAAATCCTAGAAAAAAGTATAGTGTATAAAGTATATGGTATAAAGTCAAGCATTAAATCAGGTATATGTGTAAGAAAGAGCTTTATATCAAGAAGTAATTATATATCAAGAAAACATCCCAGCCCAGTCCAACTCAAGTCCATCAGTCAGATACTAGTCCGTAAGCCTCTCTTCAGATCCACGCAGCCACATGCAACGATGCAGAATGCAGGAAGATCACAGCCTGGGGGATGCAACGTCGTCTGGATCCGACGACGGTGGAAGCATCATAGAGCTGTGGCAGAAATCAGGGCCAGCCAGCTGGAAGGTGCAGGCAGAGAGAGAAGGGAGGTACCCAGGGCCCTCCTTCTGAGACAGCCACACCCACAAGCAGGTACCATCAAGCTGTGACCTGATGGACAGGCTAAACTCCACCCTACACATATCTTCAAGTTGCCACGAAACTATGTAAGTACCACAGAGCTCCATCTGAATTAGTAGAACCCTAAATTTTATAAATATATTTTAAAACCAGTTCTGGAGTTTTACCTTTCAAGCAGGCATAATCCTCTTTGGACTACCCATTCGTAGAAGTTTGACCAAGCCAACTTCAGTATAATTGTGCTTAACAACCTACTCGTATACAATGAACACTGCATAAGGACTGGAAAAGCAAGTTGACCAAGAGCATTCTCCATACAAAGTGTGGTCTGGATTAAGAAGGCAGCTTAATTAAGAAGGGAGCTCTAGGTGTGTGGGCTTCCAAACCCAACGGCACTGGTTCTGACTTCCCTTCCCTGATCTCACGATGCTTCAGCTTTCCTAACAGACTCATGGCTACCCTTATACTAAGGAACATGTCACCCTGGACCTAGTGTTAGTCACACTCGCAGATTCTCAGTTGTGTTGAAGGATGTTGAAATGGCGTCACCAGCCATTTCTGGTGCATTGTTTGACAGCCCTCTAGAAAGAACATGCTAGTATTCCTCTGAGTAATGGACAAATTGCATATTTTGATTTTAAGACTGGTACAACGTCTGTTATTTAGTTACCGACCCAGAAGCCAGCTGGTTAACGTGATGGAGTGTGTTTGTATTGCGCTCACCGTCCCCCGCCCGGCTCGGGGGGCAGAAGTCTCGTGGCCTTGACTCCAGAGAACCAACACGTGCCTGAGACCGGAGGGCAGTGTGCTTGCTTTATGCAGGAAGACCCCTACGTCGGTTTCCCCTGAATTGTGATCAGACTTGCTGGGATGGCCCTGGCCCTTAGGGTTCTCTGCATTTTTACCTGTGATATAAACATTTTTGGTTACATGAATTTCCTCATTTTTAGACTACTCTGAGGTCAAATCATGTAACTTGCATAAGATCTGGGATTTCCAGGAAGCTAAAATATTGAGAAAGATGAAAAAGCTTGTCTTTTTCTTTTTTAATGGAAGAACTAGAGCAAATGCTTCAAGAGACAAATGGGAAGTTAATTTATTTCTTCCTTCGAGCCTTAGAGTTGATTTATTTTTGAGTCTTTTGATATAGAGAAACAACTTACTGATTAAAAATTCATTGACAAAAATTCAGTGACTGATGGATTTATGATGCCATATTTACTGTCTTTAAGATGAAGATAGTGTAGATCTTCTCTACTTTACCTTATTCTTAGAATAAACAGAATTATGAACATATGGGAATCTTGGCATAGTTATATCAAATTGTTTTGCAATATAGGGGAAATACTTAGAGGAACTTCCCTCTTCCCCCATTACTTGGGTTGTGAATAATTTTCAAAAGACTAATCAAACACACTCATTATGTATTTTAATGTAAATATAAAAGCAAGCTTTTAAAAAGTTCATTGTAAGACTTATTTGTTGCTTCTCCCCCCACCTGAGAATTTGCTTAAAAGAACGAGGTTAAAAAGATGCCAGAATTTTGGATAATGGCTTTTATGAGTAAGAAAAATTTTCCCCCAACAATTTTATTTGGCATATAAATCACATATCTTATAATTCCATAGTTCAGTCACATGTGAGGAAGAGATTTTAAAGGTTTATTCTTTTCAAAATTTGAGATCATTTCAACTTGATGTCATTAACGCAAAAAACGTTTCAGTTTGAGTGCCTACCAGTTAGCACCTGGTCCCATCAACCGAATGACCAGGGGAAAGGTAGCATTTGGACTAATCAGGTGTCATACGTTTTCAGCCCTGAAATAATCACCAACTCCTAGCAAGGTGATTTTTTTTTTCCTTTGGGAGCAGAAATCAGATAGATCCTGTAGGTCTTCCAGGACAACGGCACCTTGTTCCTACCTGGAGCATTTAAATTTCAGAGTGTTGGGCACTGCGCTCTTTTCTAAGCCACATACAGTGTGTGGGTTTGATGTTTTGAGCTGAAGTGGCATCTATCCAATAGACATGGCGGTCAGTATTGATCAGCTGCACCAGAGTACAGTATTTGAACCTGACCCCAAGGAAACCGTGATGCCACGGTGTAGTGGGCAAGCCTGTGGGCTTTGAAGAACAGACCTGTTCCATGATTTATAGTTCCCGAACGAACGACTCTGGTGGCATCATGGGTTACATGCTGCGGCGCTCACTGAAAGGATAGCAGTTCAGAACTACCAGCGGCTCTGAAGGAAAAAGAAAAGCCTTTCTACTCCCGTGAAGGTTACCAGCCCCACAAGCCCGGAAGGGCAGTTCCACTCAGTGCTCCGACAGTGAGTTGAGCCAAGCTAGGGTAACTGTGAGGGATACCCACAGTCACGTACCGAGGCTCATGGACAGGACTCATGCTCCCTTCACTGCTTTGTAACGTCTCGGGGGAGCCGCCATGTGTCCATGTTGACAGACAAGCAGCAGTCGCGGTTAGCTCCAAAAGGACACAGTGAACTCCAGGCAGTATTGACTGCCTCGCAGGGAACCGTCGGACTCAGTCCACTGAATCTCAGTGGACGAGATTCAGACCAGCCTGACAAACAGTCCTCCAGTCTCTCGCTGGTGTCCTGAAGACCAACCCGAAGTCACCTGCAGAAGGCGGCATCAAACAGAGCATCTCTGTTTGTCTCGTTCTCTGCAGAGCAAAGGGCCGGCTGCGAGGGAGGAGGCCACCTGGTGTGGAGTAGGACCCAGGTGCGCCTCCTGCCTGGCCAGCCCCTCTGCTCCATTTCTTAGTGTCCGTGTCCCCAGGGGTCGCCACCCCCTAAGGTGGGTCTTGACCACGTCTATGAAAGGCTCACCTTTCATAGACAGTCCGTGGGGTGTTTTGTTTTGTCTGCCCTTGAATTTGCTTCGGTTACTGATGGTCTGTTCCTCATTTCTGTCCCGCGTCAGTGAAGGTCATTGGTTATGTTGTTTCTCAGAGAGCTTGCCCTGAACATGCCTCCTCCTCACAGCCCCACGATGATTCGCCTGGCCACTGGTGGGCTCTTCCTCGTCGGTTCTCTGACGGCTTTCCTCCCCTCTCTCCCCTGCAGTTTGCAGAAGAAGCTGGGGTCAGCCACCCTCCGAGTGTCAAGAACAGAAGCCACGGTCTTCCAGCAAAGACGGCCGCCAAGGCAGCAAGTCTAGTGACTCGGGAGAAGAAGCAGAAAAAGAGTTTATTTTTGTGTAAAGCTCACTCAGCAAGGAACCCGAAGGCAAGGCCTCTCCTTTAGGCGCTTTCGCTGGTGCTTTCTCTCCTTCCTCTGGTATTTTCTTGAGGATAGAAACGAATCCATGTCTTAGGCAATCAAAAGCACATGTATTTGGTCTTACCTCCCCACGTGCCCCCACGCCAAGCCTTGGCCTTTGATTTTGAAACATTCCTTCATAATGCCTTCCATGAAAGCCAGCAATTACTCCATGAGCCCTACTTGAATTTCTCTGCCTCAGCTACAGGTTGCCCTGCCAGCGGCGTGTGGGGGAGGTCAGCGTAGTAACTGGACACACTCCTACACAAGGAGCCCCCGCCCAGCAGACCGTGGGGGGTGCTGCTGAATGTACCCGTGTCAGAGCCACACAGGGCCTGCCAGAGCCATCTGTGCTTGACGTAGGCAATTGCACACTGTAATTAGATGAACAGAGCACACTAATAAATGACTTGTGTAAATTATAGAGAGAGAGATATATTAGACAGGAGTATGGTTTTTACATTCTCCCATGGGGAACTTCTTCCTTCCGGAGGCGGAATGGGCCCACGGATGCCCTTGGCAGAACCATCGACAAGCACAGGGAAGAAAAGGTGAGCACGGTCCCGCTGACTGCCGGCGCCCAGGTTCATGTATATAGTCCACTGGAGGTTTTATGAATCTTTGTGTTTTTAGACGGTCTCTGCCATTCTGTCTGCATACTAGCTTTTAATGTGTGGTTTTATGAGAAAATACTTTGACCCCTGTTTTAAAAAAAATCAAAATATACTACTACTCTTTTTAAGACATTTCACAAATATTCACTTACAGGCTGAAGGGATTTTATTCATATGTATATTTATACCAATAAAATGATTTTACAAATGGAATCTTTGCCTTCCCCCGTTATTTTTTTTATTTTTTTATCGTTTTAGTAGGGGCTCATACAACTCTTATCACAATCCATACATACATCAATTGTGTAAAGCGTATTTCTACATTCATTGCCCTCATCATTCTCAAAACCTTTCCTCTCCACTTAAGCCCCCGGCATCAGGGCCTCATTTTCCCCCTCCCTCCCTGCTTCCCCCTCCCTCATGAACCCTTGATAGTTTATAAATGGGTATTTTGTCATATCTTGCCCTGTCCGACGTCTCCCTTCACCCGCTTTTCGGTTGTCCGTCCCCCAGGGAGGAGGTCACATGTAGATCCCTGTAATCGGTTCCCTGTTTCCAACCCACTCTCCCTCTACCCTCCCTGTTTCACCACTCACACCACTGGTCCTGAAGGGCTCATCCGCCCTGGATTCCCTGTGTTTCCAGAGCTTGCACAGAAGGATTTAGAACCCAGGCCTGCTGTGTCAAGAAAATAACAGTCTCAATGACGTCAGAAAGCAAATAGAAATTCACCAAGTAAATATTGATTTATCTGTTGAGCTTTATAGAAAGCAAGCAGCTCAGCTGGCACTTACTCCCTCAGGGACAACATTCTGTTTGGTGTAGAGGGAGATGCCCCAGGGAAGAAATGAATCCTTGTTTGTTCTGCTTATTTGAGAAAGTGATTAAGTCTGGCTCTCCCAGCGAAGTACGGTTAGGCTCCTAGACAAAACCGAACCTTTCCCAGAAAAGAGACTCATCTCCTTGATGTGTGGCAGTTACATAATCTCCTGTCAACTTGTAAAGGGGTGGTGTCTAGCCTGTCAATCAGGTCGCAGCTTGATGACCTCGTTGGAGGTGTGAAGGAGATAAATAGCTCACTGGAAGGCCAGATAACACTCACTCCTTGCAAAACATTCCTGTTGACAAGCCACATGCAGCTATGCTGATAAAGCAAGAGCCCTGCAGCTGGCGGAGCCATGTGGAGACCCACGCCAGGGTTGAGACACTTTCACTGCCACTGGATCCACAAGACTTTCCACCCACTGGCTTGTGATCATCCTGTATTCAGCATCATTGCATGTGTTGCGTGAGTCTGAAGAGGAATTTATAGATTAGTTTTGGACATATAGGCTAATATCTGACTTACGAATGTGATCTGGACTGGCCTGGGGTGTTTTCTCAATCTACAATTGCTCTTTTATATTAAGCTCTTTCTTATACATACATGAGTGGCTATGAATTGACTTCTCTAGTCAACCCAGACTAACACAACATGCTTCACCCAAATATGTTCTTTCTTTAAAACATTTCTGCTTCACTTAGGTGCAAATGTTCAGAAAGCTAGAGCCTTCTTTGAGCACACATCAGCTTCTCTTTCTCAGAAACACCCCGCTTGGACCCTTTGGTGGCCAGGGGTGTGTGCCAACTTGGGGGGGGGGGAGCATCGTTCTCAGTGGTTTGGTGGCATGATATAGTCATCCCCCAGTATGATACCTAAGTTAATGCGATCATGTTCATGGTGAGATCTCTGTGAGGAGTCCATCCATGGAAAGGAAGGTTCTTTGGGGATTGTGACCTGCTTCCAAT